AATATATATATATATATATTTCTGTTATCTAGTTACTATATTATTTAGGCCTCACTATACATTTCTTTTGCTCAGAAGTTATGAACTATAACCTCATAAATAACATTCTATGTACGGTAGTCCAAGGGACTGTAGCGCAGAAGGAGAGAGCATAACGTTGAATAAAGTGACAGAGTCCTACTAGCAGCAGGTCGAGTAAGCGTTTATTTTCTAACATAGTCGGAGTGTTCTTTCAGAGAGTCAAGTTCCAGAATGAAATTACAGAAACGAAAAAACTCACTAAGTCTGTAGAAGACGAGACATGACGAAAGCAGGGATCATCATCTGATTGACGTTCACAACAAATTAACTTCTTAAAACAACGTGATATATACCCATTTTACGTGATCATGATACACTTTTTAAAATGTTATAAAACTCGAACAATTGCACAAAAGGCGTATTCATAGAGAAGGTCAATCAAGTTCTTGTTCAGCTAGAATATCATCTGGACTGCTACTGTAATTGTAGGACACAATTCTGATACGTCTGTGCCATATAGATTACCATTCAGTACACACATGAAGAGTTTATCCACGGCCGTATATTAGATCGAGAAAGATTTTCCAAACATTATTAAAATGCACGATAGATTATAGGGTCAGATGTATCTGTGCGAGTGCTTATAATATGCTAACGGAAATCACATATTGCTATGATTATGTATTTAAAAAACGAGAGTACTTACTCACAGTAAAAGTTAATTAAACATATTGCATACATTATATCAGGAGTTACTAATGTCATTATTAACCCCTGATTATATCAGGAGTGTATAATTGTAGAGCTATTATTATTCACTCTTGATGATATAATAACAGGAAGTCCCGAGCTGCTCAACATCTTGGGTTTTTCCATTTTTTTCGCTGACGTATATCACATACGAATTGGTGTAGGATGCTAAAGGAAACCTTTAATAAATAATTTTATTGAAACTATACTCCTGTGGTGACCACGTATTCAGCTTTATAGCTATTCGGTTAAAATAACAACATGTTCTATAGATGGCGCTACGAGGTCAGAACACATACGCGCATCACATACGCCGCAGCCCTCTGACTTCTACCACTAATCTCTTCTGCTACCTATAATTGTAAAACGGTACCTATACATTTATTTAATTATGTATGTCGTTACTTGGTTAGTTTGTTAGTTAGTTAGCAATTTAGTAAGTATATTTATTTGTTTATTCCAAATCCACACGTACTTGAGTACAATCAGGAGTAGATAATAGGGAAGGCCCTAATTCCCTATTATCTACTCCTGGTACAATGTACGCGCAAGCTGTTTTATACCTAATCGTCGCACGTGGTGGCAGCACCATTCCTATTCTCAAATTACTTCGCATCCCTGATCCCTACCCTATTTAATTCCTATCGCGCCCACGTTGTGTGGCTTGGCTGTCCTTGACTTTTATTAGATCATGATGACGATACATGAGGGTTGTGATACGAGCCTATGACCGTAAAGCATACGGTGCACGTGATAGGTGATGACGTCAGTACCTCGTATTCGCACGTTTCTGCATCATAGCCCGTATTTGCATAAAAATGCAGCGTCACGTTTGAGCTTGCGCCACCATATTCAGTGGCATACGTCGAATTGACGCATCGCTACTTATTGGTATATAAAATCTGCATTATTAATCTCTGATTCTAATATCTGTACATCTATGAAAAAAATACTGTATAATCCAGAGAATAAGCCAATTAATGTGAAATCGAGTTTATTCTCAGACTGCCTACTGATGTACTGTCGTAGTTCTTTAATTTCCTTCTTCATCGAGAAGTTAATTTACCTGATTTCCCTTTTCTAATAATTGTTATTTGATACGTATTTACTATTTCTTGCGAAAATTTATGCTATAACAAGAGCGTATTATGTATATATAATTAATAAGCTCTTGATACTACTATAATTACTTATATTTGTGTCATTAAGTATTTTAGTGCGTTCGTGTGTTGCGTAGGTGTAACACTCGCCCAAAGAAACTCATTGTATAACACAAAACGACCCCGTACGAGTCAAAGCGAGATTAAGGCAAACCAGAACAGCTTATTTAAATCAATAAAATCACGACATTTCGTCGGCATGTATTTACAAAGTAAAATTTACAATGATCAAATATATCATATAATAAAAAAATGTATCAATTTACACAATTGGCGGCGCATTGGCATCATATTTGTTCGTCCACAGCACGTCACACATTCGCTTCCTACAGTTACAACCGCACAAGAGATTTGGCGCGATGCCAAAACCTTCTGGGAAGCGTGCCAACATTTTGGCGCGCATTATCGATCCCATTCTGCTGCTTTATTACGTGGGGTTGAGCGCGCATGCGCACAACTTCCGATCGATCTTTCATTTCCCACGCCTGCGACAGAGTAGCGGTAATTTTCCATGACGCACTGACGGAACAATAATTGTACGCATATACAGACCGCGTGCAAGCGAAGCGCTTAATTCCACGTGAACACACGTCTGTTAGGCAATCACCATGCACGTGCATTTCCAGTACATATATCACGAGTACAGAGACGTCCTCCGAAGTCCCACGTTATAACCCACAGACACTTGGAGCGTCTCAATAAAGAAAAATAATGCTAACTAGACACGAAACGTATTTCCTTCCAAAGTCTTAATGTTTCCCTACTCTTTTTTGCCTATTATTGCCGAATTGCCGAAGCTACAATAATAGGCAAAAGAGAGTAGCGAAACATTAATACTTTGGTAGTAAAAATACATTTCGTATGTATTTAGCATTATTTTACTTTTTTGATACGCTCCAAGTGCCTGTGTTGTAAGCTCCATGGTTGTAACGTTGCAATCACTAGACTGCTAGTATACGCGCCAACGTACATGCACTATAACATTAACAGCTTGCCGCGTCAAAAAAATGCAGGTTCGGTTTGGTCTCCACAATACAGTTATCACTTAAAATATTAAAAATAATTCTTAAATATAACGCAAACCGTATTTACAATAAGTTACGACTGCGAACCGAGGTCTAATGTAGATATATATCACTTATGCGCAAGGAAAACCAATCAGCTGATAAGCCCACGATGGCAATACTAAACGCAATCGTCTACACGCCTATTTTAGCTTTGCCGTGAATCACGCCCGATCACAGACAGCTAGCCACCGTGCCCATACCATATTTCAACGTCCTTCCACTCTTGATTAGAACGCCTACACGTACGATGCCTCGATCCTTCCCGAGATGGGCCATGTCCGTCAGTTCATCAGCGATGTTTTTACAACCTCCGGAAGATTTAGGCCAAACTACACCTTTACTGACCGCGGGGCAGAAGGCCAATCGTGCGTCATCAATCTCCCACTATAACTGCTCCGGTTTCTTGGAAACCGGCGAGATGGAAAGTTCGGAGGCAGATCGAGTTTCCAGTTCGCTTCATGTACAGTGGCTCGGCTGCTGCTGCTGCTGCTGGCAGCGGTGCCGTGGCTGTACGACGAAGGATGTATTGCCATTGGGACGATGAACCCTTCACGTAGGCCTACGTGATGCCACGCACGACTGCGCGCGCTCTTGTTCTTTTGTGCGCGCGCTCTCTCTCTTTCTCTTTCTTTCTTTCTCTCTCTCTCTCTCCTGTGACTGTCCCACGGCGCCTGACAGCTGCAACGTTTACGCAACCTATTCTGGAATGTTCCTTGAAACGCGCGCCGCACACAGCGCGTCTCTCTCCCTCCTTGTTTCTTCCTACAACTACGACGACCTCTCGTCCGACGACGTCGTTCTCGTTCTCTTGCTGAACGACTTTCGCAGCTTCGACAGAGAGTTAGAAAAGAATCCGGGAGGACTGCTACCTGGTGAATCGGTGCTCTCGTGGCTGTCCTCACTACACGTGCTGCAACACTCGGACGTCAGTTTCCTCCGTTCCAACATCACCCGTTCGCTGGCCGTCATCGGTCGCTCGGACACCGTCCGCCGTCGGTTGGCCTGCGACGGAATCGTAATCTGTCTCGTCGACGATATCTTTACGCCCATCGTCGATGGAAGGCTCATCTGTCGCGTCATGTGTGCAGGAAGTACCGCCGCTCGCTGGTCGCGGCCGTTGACGGCCATCAACGTCGTGCCGGTTCGTTCCCGCCGCAGGTCGCCGTTGCTTTTCCCCTCCGAGCATGCCGACGTCGTTCTACTTCGACTCGACTTGCCTGCGTACAGGTTGTAGTCCTTCCGCATCACTGGTACCATGAACGCCATGATCGCTGCTCGTGTTGTATTATATACTAGGTATCGTATTATAATATAAGCTGTCGCCGGTGAAAAACGCGTGAGTTCAGTTGGACGACGAGGTCATATAAGAACGTACGATAAATCGCTGAATGAGTGACTGTGTGAGTATCCGCCGCTAGCAGATATGCTCTTATACTCGCCATGCCAGACGACACGTGACCAGCGTGTCTGGCGAGCGCGCGCTCTGATTGGCTGCGGGTGCGCCCGCCAATCGATTTGGAAAGATGCCAAGTCTCGTGACTCGCCGTGCGGGTGACGTGGGATTGCCGCCAAGCGTCTACAGGTGATAGATAGCAGTGACGGCTGTTGACGCATATTCCCGCAGACAAGCGCGTAAAAAATAATTATGTTATGTAGATAACCCGTAACGCTCGATAACCGTAAACTCGCGGCACCTTGGCTTGTGTCCACGTGTAAGTTGTAACCAGTATGCCATTCACACATATTGAGGACATACGTGTGCACGCGCATTTCCTGTGTTCCGGGAAGATGATATAGATGTCATTAATTAAGCAATCATCTGTGGACACCGCTAATTGCAGTAATTACACCTACGTGTACAACCTACGATTCCAACCTACGCGTACAACCACGAAAATATAATGCATTTTCTTACCAACAAATCGCTATCTCATATATCCTTAACCCAATCATCCCTTTAAGATTACAGATTCTTTGAAAGAGAGAGAGAGAGAGAGAGCGAGAGAAAGAGGGAGCGAGAGAAAGAGGGATGGTCTACCCCCCACGTATCTCTCCATCTCCTCGGCGCTCTCTCCTCTCTTTATCTCTCTCTCTTTTCCTCTCTCTCTCCTCTCTCTTCCATCTTCCCTCTCTCTCTCTCACTCTCGTCTATCCTGCCATTCTCGCACACTCTCCTCTATCAATCATCTCCAGCGCCCCCTATACAATTACCAAATCAATTATTAACGGTAGCCTATTTTATCACGCTCTCTAATGTCAACGAGTCGTTCCCATTTGATCTGATGTCGTCATCCTATTATCACCGTCACCATCCTAACCAGTTTATCGCCGATCAATCATCGCTTCACCCATCACTGCTCATCATGTACCACCGCTACTATTTTCGCCGCCGACCAATCACGTTCATCATAATCCCCGCCACTGATCGTATCACCGTCTGCCACCAAATCATACCACTATGCCCCATCACACATTGCACTAGTTGCCACCATTTCAACTACCATCACGTATCATCCTCACCGATGCTACACCGCGCTACACGAATCACACTCGGGAGTGTCATCCGTTACGTTGAGCGCTGCCACTATCATTCCACAACTATTCCCATCTTCGAAAGCTCAGCACTGCATCTTTTTT